ATTTATTTGACAGAGAGAGACACAGCGAGAGAGGGAACACAAGCAGGGAGAGTGGGAGAGGGAGAAGCAGGCCTCCCGCCGAGCAGGGAGCCTGATGCGGGGCTCGATCCCAGGACCCCAGGATCATGACCTGAGCCGAAGGCAGACACTTAACGACTGAGCCACCCAGGCGCCCCTATTCTCTTATTTTTATTTGTGCTATTTTTAAAATCAGTTTTGCTCTATCATATATATGGTAAAGATTTTTCCAGGTTTGTTGTTTGCCTTTTAGCTTTGTTTATGTTATATTCTATTCTTTTTTTAAAAAAGATTTTATTTATTTATTTGAGAGAGAGAGAGACAGCAAGAGAGGGAACACAAGCAGGGGGAGTGGGAGAGGGAGAAGCAGGCTTCCTGTGGAGCAGGGAGCCCGACGCAGGGCTCGATCCCAGGACCCTGGGACCATGACCTAAGCTGAAGGCAGACGCTTAATGACTGAGTGACCCAGGCGTGCCTGGTATATTCTAGTCTATAGTGTTTAAACACTATGTCGTCATGTCTATCCTTCTTTTCTCTTAGATCTCTGCCCTTGAGGTCATGTTTATAGTGCACAGAGTGGGCCTCTGTAAGTAAATGTTGTTGGTAGGTGTTATGTGTGAGTTTTGACTCAGAAATCTATAAATCCAGCCCTCAGCTCCTGACTTGTATATCCAACTGCCAATTCAACACCCTTACTTGGACATCAGATCCATATTTCACACTTAACATGTCCCCCAAAACCTTGATTCCTATTGCTTCTTCCCCAGACCCCCTTCTCCCATCAATGCTCCTGACTCAGGAAAGGATCCATCTTCACTCAGTTGCTTAGGTAAAAAATTTGAGTCATCTTTTTTGTTTATTATTTTTAAAAATATTTGATTTATTTGAGAGAGAGAGAGCATGAGCGGGGAGGAGGGGCAGAGGGAGAGGGAGAAGCAGACTCCCTGCTGAGCAGGGACCCGGACGTGGGGCTTGAACTCACAACCCTGAGATGATGAGTCGCATGCTCTGCCAACTGAGCCAGCCAGGCGCCCCGAGTCATCCTTTTTCGACCTCTTTTCCCCACATCTTACAGTTAATCTATCAGCAGTCATGTCGAGTCTTCAAAATACGTTGTGAATCTAACCACTTCTCACCACCTCCACCTCTACCGCCTAGCAGAGGGCACCTCGGTTGCTGGCCTGGCCTTCTGTGGTGACCTGGTCTCTCTGCTTTTCTTCTTCATCTTCAACAGTCTGTTCTCTGTAGCCAAAGTGAGCTTTTCATGACAAATTGTATCATGTTACTCTTTATTCAAGACCCTCCAGGAGTCTCCCATCACGATGGGGATAAAATTCAAACTCCCACAATCGTCCCGTGAAACTCTCTGGGGTCTGGCCTCTCCTCTCCCTCCAGCCCCATCCCCTTCACTTGCTCTCTCCCTCTCTGGGCTCCAGCTGCCCTGGCTTTCTTGCTGTTCTACATACACACCAAGCTTCTTCATGCCTCAGGGCCTTTGTCCTTGCTGTTCCTTCTGCCTGGAAAGCATTCCCCCCAGAACTTTGCATGACTCACTTCAAATAGCAGAGAGCCCTTTCCTGACCACATATTCTCAAATAATCTTCCCTTTTCCTCTTGTTATTCTCCTCCTCTGTCTTATTTTCTTCAGAGCACTTGTTCCTGTCTGACATTATTACATAAATTTATCTGTTGTTTGTAGTTCTCCCTTGGAATGTAAATTCCATGAAGGCAAGGACTTTGGTACTTAGTAGGTGGGTGCTTAATACATATTTATTGAACAAATATGTGTAATATATAAGTGTGTGAGAGTGTAATGTTTGTGTGTAGATATATCTGCTGCATGGATAGATATCTGTGAGAATGTGTGCAGAACCACCAGAATAATGACACTGAATTTGTAAATATTGCTGAGTTTGTGTGTGGATATGACTGCATCTGTGAGTGCCTTGCTGAGAATGTCCATGTATGTGTATTTGTGCGTGAAACGTGTGTGTGTGTGTGTGTGTGTGTGTTTGTGCGTGCTCACGGGTGCATGCTGTGGATGATGGGTTATGTGTAGCCTGAGCATCTACTTCTGTGAGGGTGGGGAGCTGGGACACCTGGGCAAGTTCTTCCTCTTACCAAATGGACCTGCCATTGCCGCAACTCTCCCCCTTTCCCTCCCACACCCAGGAAACAGGAAGCACCTGTGTGTCTTTTGGAGCCTGCAGACACTGGAGCACATTTCAAAAATGCCATTTCAGGGTGACACAGGGTGGGTGGTCAGATGAGGACCATGAGGGTCCGGAGGAGACCTGGGGCTGATAGGACCTCATGCTGAGCTGGGCGATCTCAGGAGGAAGGATGATAACTTGACCACCAAAGAATGAGACTGAAGCAGTGCGGGTGGGCTGGGCTCTGGATTGGCTGTGTGGCCTCCACATGTCCCTGCTCTTTCTCTAAGCCTCAGTAGACCTATCTGTAAATGGGGTTGGTTGCTCTTGGGGAAATGGTAAATAGAGGGAGGTAATGGTAGTGAATATGTAACAGTCATAACGATAGTGTTCTTACATCTGTGCAGCACATGAAGGTCTTAATCCACGATCTCATCAAATGCCTCAGTGTCCCCAGTCCAGCCCTGGACTTGGCCCCATGTGGGCCTCAATGGTTGAATGAATAGTAAGTGTGTGAGTGAATCAATGAAGGTACAGATAAGACAGTGCCTGGGTGACTAAGTGGAGACCTGGCTTTGGAAAGCAGCAACGGGGCTGATAAATCACAATGACTGACATTTTTTAGCACACGCTATGTGCCAGGCCCTATGGTAAATGCTTCTCTTAGTTCTTGCAACAAAGCCATGTGATAAGTTCTATGATTAGCCCCATTTCGAAGAGGGAGAAACTGAGGGTCAGAGAAGTGAAGTGACTTGCCCAAAGTCACAAAGCTCCTGCGTGGCACAGTTAAGATTCCGGCCCACGCAGTCTGACTCCAGAGCCCAGAGCACGGGGTGCTTTCCGATGGAGGGGCAGAAGCCCTGGGGGCTGAGGCGGGCGTCCCAGGTCTGGGCTGGGGGTGGTGTCTTCCCCAGGGTAGAGTGCAATACCCTGTTTCCCATCCCCCTCTCCTCCTTCCCCATCTGCAGGTGCATGCCGGGATGCAGCACTACGGGGTGAACGGCTACTCGCTGCACGCCATGAACTCTCTCAGTGCCATGTACAACCTGCACCAGCAGGCGGCCCAGCAGGCCCAGCACGCCCCGGACTACCGGCCCTCGGTGCATGCACTTACCCTGGCCGAGCGCCTGGCTGGTAAGGGCCATGGGGATGGGACCCTGGGGACAGAACGGTGGGGGCTGGGGGTGGAGGAGAGGTCTGGGTGGGAAGGCTCTGGGAGTCCCCAGTAGGAGGGAGGGAGCACTGGGAAAGTTTACTCTGGGAGGCTCTGGAAGTCCCAGGTCACTCAGCAACACAGAGAGGTGTCGATTCAAAATCTATGTATGACCATCCAGAGCACTCCTTGTTAGCCGGTGCTGTGCTGGGCACTGGAGCCGCCCCAAGCCTTCAGATTCCTTTAACAGCCCTATGGTGGTGGGAGGACGCGTTAGCCCATCTCACAGACGAAGGCTGAGGTAGGAGGGTAAGGGAGCAGGCTCGAGGATTGTAGCTGGGAAGTAGCCGGAAGAAGGCTGGAGTGCCCAGGGAGGATCCTTCAGGCGCAGGAAGGCACATAAAGAATAACAGCTCCCGTGTTTTGAATGCCGATGATGTGCCAGGGGCTCTGTGAGGCTTTCCGTGTGCATCACAGTATTCAAGGCCGAGGAAGAGAGGTTATGACCTCCATTTTATGGACCAGGAGACTGAGGCTCAGAGAGGTTAAATCTGGGTGGGGGTGGGGCTGGGGGCATTGAACATGACGTGATGGCTAAAAATAGAGCTTTGAAGTCCCGGATCTGTGGTCACTGCAGATCTGCCCATTCACCTCTCCTCTCTGAGCCTGGGTCTCCCCTTATAAAGAGGGGACGATAGGCTGGCTGGGAAGTTATTTGAGGTAACGTACGCAAAGTATTCGGCAGAGACTGGGATGTGCAAAGAAGTCATTATTACTCAAGTCCTGAGGTAAGTGGCCACAAGGGAGCTGCAGGCTTGTGTCTCCCTCCACCTTCAACAGAACGTTGCCCCCTGCCCTGCAGCCTCTCACTGGGCGTGAGAAGGACTTGACAGCCTAGGCTAGGGGCATGATTCCTGGGAGGGGGTGCCGTGCACTCTCTCCTGTCCCAGGTCAAACCCTGAGCAGCTGGTGAGCCCACGTGGGCCTAGCCCTGTGCCAGGCAGTACTCAGAGGGCTTGAGAGCACCCGGGGGGTTGGTGCTCTTAGGCACCTAGGAGAACATGGCAGGAGTGCAGTGAGGGTCGTTTGGTGGGGCAGCTCAGAGCAGCGGCAGCTGGTGTAGTCAGAGGGGACTTCCTGCAGGCCGCAGGCCATGGGGCTGGAGCCAGGCCGTTGGTGAGGGGAGTGCATGAGCAAAGGCACAGAAAAGGGATGAGATGTGAGGACCCTGCTGGGGAAGAGGTGCGGGCCTGGAAGGGAGGGTGAGGTGGCCATTCCCACTCCTCGAGACCCTGCCAGGCCTTGGGGCAGGGCTCAGTGGATAAAACGGAGGCCCTGGTTACCTTCTCTAGATCAGCGTGGGACATGAGTCTCCAGTGTGGGATGTGGGTACAGTCCTGTCCTGACTGGCTGCTTCCCTGGTTGGCAGTGAATTCCCTATGTCCAACCTGGTGGAGATAGCGGCTTCTCACTGTGTGCTAGACCCAGAGAGGCATTGGGGATGGGGGCTCCCCTCCGCTGGTGGGGGCAGAAGACCTGGAATAGTTAGCACTCTACCCCAATTCTCCAGTTCTCAAGAAGGAGGGACATGAGCTCCAGGTGGGCCTTTGTTTGGAGGCCTCACCTTCTGGCAGAAAGTTCTGCTGACGGGAACGGGACAGACCGCCTGGCCTCCCCTGTGGTCACCCACCCTTTTGGTCCGTGGAGCCGGTAGCAGGATGCTGAACTCTCGCTCCCTCAACCAGGGTTCAGCTGACTGAGGGGTCCCCAGTCCCCAGGTAACCAGCATGAGCTCAGTCCAGGCTGGGATTAGTGCCAATTTGTGAGAGGTTCAGGGCTCCCTCTTGAAGCTGAAAGAGCAACCCAAAGTCTGAGCCTTTCTGGAAACCCAGTTGTGTCCTTCCTCATTTAGGGCGTTGTGGATGTCTCCCCAATCCCTGGAGTACAGGGGAAGGACCCTGGCAGCCCTATCAGAGCCTGACACAGCTCGGGTTCTCTTCAATGTAGACAGCCCAGGATCCATTTGTCAGCGATGAGAGGCAGGGGAGAGAGGTTACTGTCCATCCACCGGAGTCTAGTGAAGCAGGAGGGCTGGATCCTAGACACCAGCCCTGGGCAGACCTCTATCCTGTTTTCTTTCTTCTTCTTCTTTTTAAAGATTTTATTTATTTATTTATTTGAGAGAGAGAGAGAGAGAGAGCATGAGTGGGGGTAGGGGCACAGGCAGAAGGAGAAGCAGGCTCCCCGTTGAGCTGGGAGCCCAACATGGGGCTTGATCCCGGGACCCTGAGATCATGACCTGAGCTGAAGGCAGACGCTTAACTGACTGAGCCACCCAGGCGCCCCCTGAGTTGTCTTCATGTTACCACCGTGCGAGCAGGACTGTAGAAGCAGGGTCCACCAGCTCTGTCTCCGCTCCAAACCTGCGGTGGTTAGAACTTAGTCTTTTTGTCCTCCTTTGAGGAAGCAGCCAAAGGGGCAAGACTAGATGCAGAAACTTTCCTGTGCTCTGAGGGTCCTGCCAGAGCCAGGTTTTCTGCTGAGGAGACATGAGAGCAGGAGCCTCAGGTCCTGCCGTCAGAGACGCATAGAACAACTGGGATAACGAGAGTCATACCCAGACGACATAGAATCAAGTACCAGTGAATTAGGGCTACCGGTCAGACCTCCCCGAACTAGACCTTGCAGATACGTCCCAGCTGCCAGCCTGGCTCCGCATAGCCAGGGGCCAATATTCTGCCGGTACCCAGAATCTAAGGGTCATGGGATATTAGAACCTTTGTGACACTGATGTACAGATTATTAGTGCCGTGTGGTCTTAAAATATTATACTCATAGCATCCTAGGACTTTAAGGATCTTAGAGCAATGTCCACCTACCTACCCACCCACTGCCAAACCAGACGAGGACCCTGTCAACCATATTCCTGACAGAGGTTCATGGAGATGAGTCAGAGCTCTGTGGTCCTTATGGCGAATGTGGCCGTGGGGAGATCCTGGAACCCAAGCCATATGGAGAGAAGATGGGTGAATTCTGAGGGGAAACGGTCAGGACCCGGCTCTGCCAGGGCCCGGGTGTCCACAGGGGGGTCAGAGCAAAGTAAGATTCAAAACCCATTTCCCATAATTAAATGGGCCCCCTCTCCTTGCCCTCCAACGGCTGTACATTTCAAGACATCATCTTGGAGGCCCGCTATGGCTCCCAGCACCGCAAACAGCGCCGCAGCCGCACAGCGTTCACCGCTCAGCAGCTTGAGGCCCTGGAAAAGACCTTCCAGAAGACCCACTACCCGGATGTGGTGATGCGTGAGAGGCTGGCCATGTGCACCAACCTGCCGGAGGCCCGGGTGCAGGTAGGGCCCCGTTCCTCTGAGGAGACCCTGCAGACAGGCACCGGCCCATCAGTCTGCTTCCTGCTGCCGCCGAGCAGGCATTTTCGGCCCCGAGTGAGGCGGAGCTGCTCTCTCCGTGAAGGCCTGCAGTGCTAGCCAGGGAGTCTGGGAAGTGATCGAGGGCGCGTGTTTCCTGGGAGGTGTGGGCAGCAATGCTCTCATGCGCCTCCCCTCCCAGAGCACCCAGTGCCACATCCTACAGCTCCTCTCCCATCCCCAGGTGTGGTTCAAGAACCGCAGGGCCAAGTTCCGGAAGAAGCAGCGCAGCCTGCAGAAAGAGCAGCTCCAGAAGCAGAAGGAGGCCGAGGGCTCCCAAGGGGAAGGCAAGACAGAGGCCCCAACCCCAGATACCCAGCTGGAGACTGAACAGCCCCCAAGCCTGCCCAGTGGTGACCCCCCTGCCGAGCTTCACCTGAGCCTGTCTGAGCAGTCGGCCAGTGAGTCAGCCCCTGAGGACCAGCCAGACCGGGAGGAGGATCCCCGGGCAGGGGCCGGGGATCCCAAAGCTGAGAAGAGCCCTGGGGCTGAGAGCAAGGGGCTGGGCTGCAAGAGGGGCAGCCCCAAGGCAGGTGAGGCTTGGCAGGTGCGGTGTGTGGGTGGGCAGGGGCCCAGCCCAGGGAGGACAGCCAGATCCGGTGGGACAGGGGCCTGGGGACATGAGGTGGATCAGAGGAGCGGGGAGAATCAGCTTTTAACACAGGGCACTAGGGCATGGTCCATTGGGGGAGTTGGCCCTAGCAGGCCTGTGCTGGTTCTTCACTCTTCAGTTGCTGAATCCTCGGAAAGTCTTGGGGGTTCTGGGGAGGGATTTGGTGGCAGGGGAGGGGACTTGGGGAGCTCGGGGCAAAAGCAATTAATCAACCATCATGGAAATATGAAGGTATTTAACAACCAGTACAGACAAAGCGGTGCCAATTGGGTGAATACCACATTGGTACCAGGGCTTCTCACACGCGGCAGAGACTCAGAACCATGTTTTTGAAGGAACGGAGTTGTGGCATGAGGCCTATCTCAGACATGAATCCTGAGCCCAGGCAGAGAGCTGGTGGGTGGGAGGAGCCGCAGACAGGAGAGGGGAAGGGAAGGTGACAGTTCTTGAAAAGACAAGGAGTATCCCCAAGAAGTCAGACATGGGGGCCTCGGCAGGGTTCCTGCCCCCCCACCCCAGGAAGCCTGGGTCCCTCCCTCCCAGGATCCTGAGGGCTGCTTCAGCAGGTGCCTTGGCTGAGATGAGTGGATATGGTTTCAGCCAACACCTGTCTTGTCTGCAGTGCGGAGGGGGCGGGAAGTCTGAGGGAACCCCCCTGGCAGACCATTGTCCTTGTGCTGAGTCCTTGGTTCTCGGTTTCTCTGCTTGCAGATTCCCCAGGCAGCCTGGCCCTGGCTCCTGCAGCCCCCGGGGGCGGCCTCCTGGGCCCCTCCCGCTCTTACTCCTCCTCCCCGCTGAGCCTCTTCCGTCTGCAGGAGCAATTCCGCCAGCACATGGCGGCCACCAACAACCTCGTGCATTACTCATCCTTCGAAGTCGGGGGCCCGGCCCCTGCTGCTGCTGCGGCTGCTGCCGCCGTGCCCTACCTGGGCGTTAACATGGCCCCCCTGGGCTCACTACACTGCCAGTCCTACTACCAGTCCCTGTCAGCAGCCGCTGCTGCCCACCAGGGCGTGTGGGGGTCCCCACTGCTGCCCGCGCCCCCGGCCGGCCTGGCACCTGCCTCGGCTGCCCTGAACAGTAAAACCACGAGCATCGAGAACCTGCGGCTTCGGGCCAAGCAGCACGCGGCCTCTCTGGGACTCGATACGCTGCCCAACTGACTGCTGGCCTCCAACCCAGCCAGGGGTCTTGAGTGCCCCCTCCCAGCCCCAGGGTTATCCCCAGATGGCTTGCAAGGAGTTAACTCTATGAGCCCAGGGATCCCGGGGCCTTGGAGTCCTGCTCCCTGTCCCCCTCCCCAAGTCCCCGCCCGAGGTGAAGCCCACACTTGCACACCCTCTGCATGGCCCTGCTTGGATCCCGTGGAGGCCAAATTGGGCGGGGGGAGGCGAGGCCAGGGCGCCTGCCGCCTCCTGCAGGGGAGTGAGGCCCTCATGGCCAGATCCTCACCCCAGCCCGGTCTCCTGCCTGCCCACCCTCCCTCCCCTCTGCCTCCTAGTAAGTCGATGTGTGGAACGTGAGATATAAATATAAATATCTAAAGCTATATTTTCAGGCCCCCACCTACCTGCCCCAGGCCCCCTGCAGCCCTTGCCTCCACCTCCGGCCTCCACATCGCTCTCTGGCTCTCCTCTGTCTCTCTCCACCCTCTCCTTCCCTGACCTGCCTCTGTCGGGTTGCCTACCCCGCCCTCCCCAGCCTCCAGCTTTCCTGCTCTGGACCTTGGCCCACGTCTCTTCTCCCCACTCCTGCTTTCTTTCTTTGGTCCTGGCTGTGTGGTGTTGTCAATCCCCAGGCTTTGTGACTTTTTACTCTTAGTAATTTTGCTTCTTCCTGTCCCTCGCCTCCTGCCTCTTCCCACCTGCCCGTCTCCTCCCTGCATGGGCCCTCTCTAGACTGCTGTTCCTTTCCATCCCCAGTGGGGGTGGGAGGCCCCAGCTGGAGACCCTGCTGCCCCTGGAGCTGGCCCCCTTCGCCGCCCTCCCTCAGGCCCGGCATTTAGAAGCGGTCACAAGTCACGTTCTCTTCTCTCTCTTTTCCCAGCCTTGAGGCCCCATTCCCAAGCTCGAGGAGGAGGGGAATGGAGGCAGGAGTCAGGCTGAGGCAGGCAGTAGAAGGGCGGCATCCCTGCCCCTAAGAGCTCCAGGAAGAGGCCTGCTGCTGGCGTTCAGCCAGGACTGACCACAGGGCTCTAGAACTCTCTGGTGAGACTTCTCTGGCTGAGGGAGGCAGCAGCGGGGAGAGCTGCTCTCAGAGAGAGGGCTCTCCAGGGGAACAGGGGCAGGTTCTCCTCTCCCACCACCTGGCCTCCAGGTTCAGCAGTTAGAGTCCATCGCAGGGGTGCATCTGAGCCAGGAAGGAAGGCGGAATTTTAACTCCTGATCACAGTAAGTGCAAACCACACCACAGCGCACAGTCTCTGCCTCTGCTGACGTGCGTCCTGGGGCCAATTGTTGCAGTGAGGGCTTCCGGCCAGCTAGTCGCTGACACGGAAAGGTGTCCTCCTGTTCATGGCCAGGAACCCAGCTCAGCAACCTCCCCTCCCAAGCGGTGGGCCTGTTTCTGGTCTGGATGAGATGGCCTGTAATGTCCTGTCAAGCTATAACATTCTGCATGTCCGTGCTCACAGCCCTTGCAGGGCAGAAGTTTTTAGTTCAACTAACAACAACAATAACAACAACAAAAAGGCTCTCGAAAGTACAATGGTTGAGTTGAAAATTACCATTGCCTTGCTGTGAAGCAGTGAGTGGTGCAGGTACAAGCCTCTGCATGGGCACGGCCAGTCTCTGGACCTCAGTCTCCCAATACATAGAATGGGTCCCTTCTAGTTGAGAAAATCTGGATCGGATCCTGATTTTCTTGAGCTACAGTGCCAGGCTCTGTGGTTGCCCCATCGCCGTGCCTTCACATAGTGTCAAGGGTTCAGGGCAAGGGGAGGGGAGTGGCTTGCACAGATTCCGAGTCATGATCCCCAACCCTTTGTGGCTCACCACTGAACCCTCTATCCCCTGCTTAGAGAAACCACATCTGGAAACCAGGGTACAGATTCCTAAGGTGTGTCTCCTCTCCCAGTGCTGAGGGGCAGGGGGCTGTCTATTGGTGCCGGGTAGGATTGGTTTGCAGAGTAATTGATGCCCATCATCCTTGGTGTGGAGGGGTGTCTATCTGAGCTGGGGCCAATGGAGAAGGCTTTGGATGGGAAAAAAGTGAGGGGGATGGTAGCCTGGGCCAGGAAAGCTATTTGAACAAGGCAATGGAGTGAGACTAGGTGGACGGTGGGGCAGGGGGCCCTGGTTTCATGAGAGGTGGGGCTGAGGGCCTTGAATCCAGGCTAAAGACCTCACCCTGATGGGGCAAGCACCAAGACAGGCAGGTGGGGGAAGGGGGGATGAGTTGAACCCGGATCTGGGATCTGGGATTTGGAAGGTGAATCCAACAGCCACAGGAGCATCAGAAGAAAAGAGACTTAGGCAGGAGGACTGAAGGGGTGTGGAGACTCTAGACGTAAGGGATTTTTGGTTTGTCTTCTGGGATCAGTTCCAGGAAGATCTGTTTCTGAAATGAAAACAGTTTCATCTAGACCGGGCACGGGCACGGATGCTTCTCACAGTCCCTGGATGCAGGTGACTGTCGGTGGGCCTTGGAATCCAACAGCTCTGGACCTCACCACCTCCTCCAGGAAGCCTCCCCTGACCTCCTAAGGGGCAAGTCCACCCTGGAGCCATGTTCTCTCCTGGCTGGAGCCAGGACCCCCTCAGGCTCAGCCAGCTTCCCTCAGATCTTTGTCAACACTTCCTCATTCAATTGAGCCAATTGTACCAGCCCAGAGAAGGCAGGGAGAGTGTGCATGATCCCCCGCCCAGGGCGGACGTCAACCTAGTTTAGGGGACCAGCCTGAGTTCCTGAAAGCGGCTAGAGAGCGAGAGGAGGGCGTACTGCGTGTCTCCTACAGGAGCCCGAGGGTATGGGCTTGTTGTGGGCCCTTTGCACCTGAGATGGAGGCCTTCCCCAGGCCTGCTGGTTCACCCCGAGCCTCTGTCTCTGACTGTTCCTTCCAGGAAAGCCTCCTTCCTCACCTCTCCCTCTTATCTGAGGTCTCTGTTTCCCTGCTTCTTCACTCCCCCAGAGCATGGTCCAGGGGCCCAGGCCCCCACCCCGACTCCGCAGCTAGCGGGCTGGACAGACTGCTTTCCACACCAGCCGTTTTGTGACCATTTGTGCTTAGAGGTCGTGCCAGGCCGTGGCAAAAACCACTGTGTACCATATTTATTTATTCTGTTAGTTGAAAAAAACAAGACTCAAATTTCCCCCTCCCTGCCCTGTCTCCTGCGTAGTGCAGCATGACGCTCTGTCCTGTGATCCGTCCGTCTGTCTGATTTCCTGTGATGTTGTGACCTGTTCTTTGTCCTTCTTGGCTAATAAAAGAATCCAGCAGCACAGCCCTTGGTCCAGGTTCGTTCCCTGAGATGCCTGCAGTGGGCTGAGTGGGCAGCTGTCTCAAGGTCTACTTACTGCTTGTCCAGTGCTGCGGCCGGTGGGGGAGAAGCGGGGGAGGCAGGCTGGCCACGTGGCTCTCTCCGTGGCCCTTTCCATCTGTAGCTGTTATGCCACTCTGGAGTGTTCATGGGGAACAGAGGAGCCGGGGTGGGGGGCTCCCATCTTCTGTGGGCTGCTTAGACCACAGCGCAGGTGGTGGGCGCAGGGGCAGCTGGGGGTGTGCAGGGTAGCCTGGGACGATGAGGCTGTAGGGCGGAGAGAGGCAGGGGATTCCATGGAAACAGCAAGTGAGCCAGGACCAAAAGGGGATGACAGGAAGGCACATTTGGGCCTAAAGCCTGAGCTGTTCTCCAGTGGGATGGGTGGCCTCTGGAGGGAGTGAGCTCTTTGTCCTCAGAGATGAACAATCAGACAATGAAGAAGGGATTTCTGCTCAGGGTGGCAGGATGGATTAGAGATTTATGAAGGTCCTTCCAGCTCAGGGTGAGCAGGGTGTGTGTGTGTGATTATAGCCTATAAGTGTATATGTATGTAGGAGAACCTGTGCCATGAATTCCTAAGTGTCTGCGTGTGCATGTGCACGTGCGTGTGCGTGCGTGCGCGCGCGCGCACGTTTCTGTGGCAAAGATGACAGGCCAGCTTCCCTACTCAGCCTTCACGGCCCTTCCCTGGGGTTCCGGAGTGTCTGCACAGGGCCCCTGAGCCAGAAGGAGGAGTGCAGTCTCAGGGCTGGGGTTTGGGGGTGGTGAGAGTCCCCTCTGGAGATTTCCCGGTAGAACCCCTGCAGGCCCTAATAGTGTGCAGCGAGCTGCCGGCCGCACTTCCGGGGGGCAGGTGCCTCAGGCCGCGGGGATCCTGGGAGGGCTCTGACCTCCCCACTTCCCTGGCCGCTGCCGACCCCAGGAGACGCATTCCTCTCTCCCCAGTGTGGTTGTGGATTAGGGCGGTGGGGGGCACCCCCCTTCACCTTGCCTTCCCACCTCCCTATGAGAGGCTGGCAGATCAAATGTCTGCCCCAAATCTCCCACTGCTTCCTCCCAGACCTGAGCCACTGGGATGCCTCCTCCATGCGTCAGCCCCACAGAACACACGTTCCCGGGTGTAGAAGGTGCCCCGGGAATCCTGCAGTTTGAATCCCTCATCTACTCAACACTTACCGAGTATCTGCCCTATGCCTGTCCCTGTGCTGGGGGCTGGGGACATAGACACAAGGGAGGAAAACATGCTCTCAAGACAGTTACAACACAGGGTGATTTGGGATTCAAAAAATGGAGAGCTCTGGGAGTACAGAAGAAAGGTCCCTAGCTCAGCCTGGGGAGGCCAGGAAGGCCCCTTGGGAGAAAGACTTCTGAGCTGTGCTTCCTAGGTCCAGTGTTCACCAGGAGGCAAGAGAGAAGAGGGTCCTGGGAGAGGCGGGGCACATACGGAGCTGCAGGACTGAGCTGGCTGGGTGAGGCCCTGAACCTGGAGGAGCAAGGGGACTGTCTGGGTGGGGCTTGAGGATGGTGGGGGGTAGTCAGGGGCTGAGAATGGAAAGAGAGGCTGGGAGCTTGGACTCCACCCCAAGGGCCGTGGGGGACATTAAAAGTTATTTCCAGCAGGGGAGTGGAGTGATCAGACTGCATTTTAGTAAACCCACCCTCTCCATCTCTTCGTAGTATGGTGGTTCATGAGGAGGCTGGGAGACCACAGGGGAGGCGGTTGTCATGTCCTGCTGAGAGGAGGGTGCATCCATGTGGACTGGGAGGAGAAGGCAGGGGAGAAGGGGTCAGCTTGATGAGAAATGTAGGAAGCAGAACTACCGTGGTAGGCACGGGAAGGGTCAAGGATACTCCTGAGTCTCTCTGGTTTGGCCACATGGTAGATGGAGACACTTGGGCTGGGATGCCTGTGAGGAAATGAGCCGGAGCCCATTCTGGCCTTGTTTGTGGCAGTTGAGGAGCCTTTAATTTATTTATTCAAGGGAAGAT